AAATGCCACATATAGGAGGAGATGATGGCCATGGCTCAGACCTGGGAAATAGTCATGCTTGTGGACCAAGGGCCACGTAGGTCCTTGGCTCTGGGCAGTAGCGGGGCAGTCTCACTTGGGGTTTCCTAAATTTACGAATCTGGCTACCTGCTGTTCCCTGGAATGCCTGAGAGTTGCCTACCCCTGTTGTATCCCTACCAATGCGCCTTGCAAAAATCCCTTCCCTCTCTGCAAAGAAGCACACTGCATTCTGGAACAAAAATTAATGTACTTTCCAAAGAGAGGACTCATAAAATAAAGACCAGCACCACAGGTGAGGGGTTTCTGACAAGGTCTACTCTCTGGGAAAGATGGATGATGGTAATGAGCTGTGTCTGGGGAGGAACGTTTTGTGGTACCCTTGAGTTTGAGAAGTGTGGACCAGATACCTAACATGGATGTGGAGCTTTCTTAGTGTCAATATAAGAAAACATCTAAGTTACAGGAGGCCAAATCATAACGGCCATATTCTGAGTCAGCAAGCAGCTGTTCTTAACCATTATGTAGGTCTCAGATTCCTTTGAGAGACTCAACCCAGGGGGAAAATACGTATTGACACAATTTTGCAAATAACCTTAAGAAGCTCACAGGTCCCCTCTCCCCCATATGAAGAACTCTGCTCTATGTGATGGTCCTAGAGAAAGTACCAGAATGGTTTAGTCTAGCTTGTATTAAAGATTTGTTTTCCTTCTGGGGCAGAATACAAGCTCTGCTATAACCTAACCTTGTTCTGCTAGAAAGATTGCAACGAGAGCCTACTCAGCGAAGTTTCAGCAGATAATTTTTAGTTCAGAGTCTCCGTGAAATGATTCCAAATGTAAAACAATTTTCAGATACTATAGTCATTTGCTTTTTCATTATCCTAATGTCTTTTCGTTGTGAAAAAATAAAGCAGTCATGTTAACACAAACCTATATACTGAAAGACAGAGATAAATATAGGTGCTTGGGAGAAAAGCAGTATGTAGTGATAGATTATAAAGCATGCTCTGGAAAATGTGAGATGCTGTTATTTAGTGCTTTCTTCATTTGACAGGTAAAACCTTTGCAGTTTTGGAGGATTTTGATAGAATAAGGCTATGCTGTTTTAACTAAAAATGGAAATGAAAATAGATCTAGTCTATATGGAAGCAATATTCTTGTGGTATGTTTTTCACTATTTTCAACTTCTGTGCTAGAACAAGCTGTGCGGACATGTTTTGAGGGGATGCTATGTTTCAGACCATGCAAGGATCTTGGCGTGTACTGCCCCTGAACCCCCTGTCCTGTTATGTAACAGTAATGAGACTCTCCTCCCTACAGTGCTCTTTCCAGGAAAGGAGAAACCAAAACATAAGTCTAATTCTTGGGTTTGTTGTTCATTCAGTCGTTTTTTAAGTCTTCTGTCATCCATTCAGAAGAACCTTTGTGGTGTATCTGAGCTCTGTATTCCTCCTGGAAGAAAGGAATGCACTTACTTGCCTTCCTTTCTTCCAGGAGCTAGAAATAAGGCTAGGTGTTCGGGACCAATTACTACTCTCCAAAGCTTTCTTAAGAGTATTTTTCAAAACTAGATAATGTAAATTCGAACAGTTTCTTGACTTTGCAGGACCTGAAATCCTTGCCACGGCTTGCTAAGTGCGTGTGTGGCCTGACCCCACTGGCTTGGCTTTGTCTCTTTCCCCCTTTCTCATGCTCTCGTCACGCTGGCTGCTTTCTGAGATCCGCCGACGAGGCACACTTCTTCCCAACTGAGGACCTTGGTTTCTTTTCCCTTGATTCTTTGCTTGGACGCTTTCTTCTCAACATTTAATTCACCTGTGTGCATGTCACCTATTCAGATGTACCAGGCCCACCATATATATAAAGCAGGTCCTGCTATTCACTAACATATCACCTTATTTTTCCTCCACAGAGTTTATGACGATCAGAAATTATGGTCTTTTCCATATTTACTGGCTGTCTTCTCCCTCTAAAATGCAGATTGCTTGAGAGCAAAGACCTTGTTGGGGATCTAGTGGTAAAAACATCTGTTATGTATGAGGTGTCAATAATGGTATGTTGAATGAATGAATGGGCTTTTGTCTCACTGAGACTATGTGAGGAAAATCAGGCGTTCTGAATTGCGATCCCAAAGTATTTGGGGATTTGTTCATCATAATAAATGCTTACGTAAGAATTAGCAAAATGCCGAGCACATAGCGAATTAGGTAGTTCAAGTGCTTTATATGTAGTAACTAATTTAATTCCTATAACCCTATGAGGTAGATATTATTGGTATTACTCCCATTTTGTAGATGCAAAAATTGTGGTACAGGGAAGTTAAGGAACTTGCACGAAGCTACAAAGATTGTAGGTTTGAAGGCAGGTACATGAGTCAGTGAAGGCTCTTTACCACCGAACAGAGAGTGCTCGATAAATACAGCTTTGACCTTGTGCCCAGCACTGGCTGAGTGCTTTGTATGCATGGTGTCACTCAGTCCTCAGCTCCACGCTGTGAAATAGGGACTGTCATTATGCCTGTTCTGCAGATGGGGAAGCTGAGGCTTGGAAAGCTTAAGCAACTTGTCTCAATTTCCATAGTCGCTTAGTGACGCAAAAGGGACTTGAATGTAGGTAATATGAATGCTGTGATCTCAGGCATCCTCTCCACGTTACAAGAGCACTTGTGGGTGGCTCTTGGGACATAGTCATTTTCAGGCTTGTGAGAGAGGGATTAGTCTCGCTCATTCAAAAGGTCTCCACTGGTGTCAAGAAGGGGTATCAATTACTTGGCTACAGATTCATAACGAATACGGAACAGTCCAACTCAGAGAAGTGAACAGGGAAGCAGAATTTGTGTCAGTATAACCACTGGTCTGTAAGGAATAATAGAGTTGGTTAAATGTTCATTCTTCAGAAAGAGCATAACGGTAGGATTTAGAAACTTGATAACTGTGAAAGGTCAATTTTCATTTCTAAAATGAACAAGGACAGAATTAGAAATATATTGGTGTATCACTAGGTCCGATTCTGTACTGAGCTGAAATGCAGTGTACAAAGTTTAGCACTATTGTTTTGTGAAACTTACCAGGTTTTTCACCCTGAGTCCTTCCTTAGGCACTCAGTTCTCTCAGTAGCAAAAGCCATCTGTAGGGATGATATGATGTCGTGGGTACATTCTGTCTGATTTTCAGCTCATTCTCTATAGGTAGGCATTATTAACCACCCATACAAAACCAGTATACTCACAACACAAGACGGGGGGCATAAAATCCCTAGAATTTACGCATTCTTACCCTGGCTTCAAAGAAAGTATCCATGTGAAGGATTATGGTTGGATTTGTGGACGTCAAACTTTTTTTCTTTGGAAGACTCCCTAAACCCACTGAGACCTATTGATTCAGCAAGAATAAAACAGGTTCAGCATATATATATATATATATATATATATATTTTTTTTAAACAATTTATGTATTTATTTTTGGCCATGCCATGAGGCATGTGGGATCCTAGTTCCCCAACCAGGGATCAAACCCATGCCCCCTGCAGTGGAAGCATGGAATTTTAGCCACTGGACCACCAGGGGAGTCCCTAGCCAATATATATATATATTTTTTGCGGTACACGGGCCCCCCACTGCCGTGGCCCCTCCCGCCGCGGAGCACGGGCTCCGGACGCGCAGGCCCAGAGGCCACAGCTCACGGGCCCAGCTGCCCCGCAGCATGCGGGACCCTCCCAGACCGGGGCACGGACCTGCGCCCCCCGCATCGGCAGGCGGACTCCCAACCACTGCGCCACCAGGGAAGCCCCTAGCCAATATTTTTGAACCCTAAAATTCCAACATTTTCACAGAACTTGTATTACAAGTGCTCTTATGCAAGCAGTTCTGTGTGATCCTACCCAAGCCTCTACTTGATGCTCACAATTACCCAACTGTGTGGGCGGGGTGGGTGTTATTAAGCCACTTTACAGATGAAGAAATTGAGGTTAATAGAGTTTAAAGAGCTTGCCCAAGGTCAGGCCACTAATAAATAGCAGAGCTAGCACCTGAACCGAAGTCTTTGGACTCCAAGTTAGTTACTTTTTCTACTGGCCCACACCTCCCCCTTCTCAAAGAGAACCTGCTAGTGGTGATGTTCCAGGTTCCGAGCATGTCTCCTGAAGATTTCCTTACTAGCAGGTCTGCTGCTAGAGGGTGGAACCTGTGGGGCTTAAGATGGAACACCTTACTCAGTGCTGTGTGCACATCTGTTGCTTCACTGGGTTTTGGCCCTGCTGTCTTTAAGTGGCTGAAAGTGATGAACAGTATCTGTGGGCCAGGACTAACGTTTTATGTATGGTTTTCAAACAACTGTTATTCTGTTTCCTTGAGAACCACCTGGCTGCTTCTCCTTGCTCCCGATGTGACGGAAACAGGTGGGGACGGCATTTCATGGTTACCCTTATTTCTCTTCTCAGTGTCTGTGTGTTCTGGGATCCAGCAGAGACTTTGTTTCTCAAACTGGTTGCCCTTTTACTCAGTGTCCTTCCTACTGCTCCAACTTTTATTGTTTCTTCCAAGTTTTGAAAGAGTTGCAAAGTTCGTCAACCATAGGTATGTAACTCAGGGGATGGAATTTCAGACAGGTGGTTCTGTAACTTCAGCTGAGCATGCCTCTGAACCCGATCTGTGGTTGTTCAAAGATCAGGTGGTTCAGCACGAAGTAAACCAGCCCACTGAGGCAGCAGTGGAACGGGGCGCAGCCGGGCCAGGACTGCTGCTTGATCTCCAGGAACCCAGGCCACTGGGCGTCCTGCAGCGTGCAGAGGCCTGCCCAGTAAAAGGCATTGCTTAACTCTCATCTGATGGGGAAGAATGCAGTTTACTCACAGGTGCTGGCCCTACAGAGCAAGTAGATTGTTGAATATATTTGAATAATCAAGCTTTCCAAACAGAAGCAAAACGTACTCCTGGTGATGTATAAAATGCAAATAAACTCAACCAGTCTCTTTTCGCTGCAGGTGTATGAGTTTTGGACTTTTTCCACACCCAGGATCAGAATGCTGCTCCTCTGTCATGCCCTCACTGTAGCTGTGGTCCAGACCTTTATCTTCTCAGAAAACCGGGCATTTGCCAGGAACATCAACTTCTATAACGTGCGGCCTCCTCTTGACCGTAAGTAGTGGTTGTCACCATCACTGGTGATGGGGGGGTGGTCAGAGTAACTGTTTGAAGTCCCTGTTTCCCTATAGTAACTTTGCCTTTTCTGGAACGTTTGGTTTATACCCAGCATAAATCAGAAAGTCTTTACTACTTCCATGAGTAAGGGTAACACATGGTGACAGAAATTTTCTCAATTTCTTTAAAATGGTTTGGCTTCCTGCTGAAGTCTCAAAAGGGTTCTTGTTTAAATTAATCTTCTGAACACTGTCCATAAGAATGGCTCAGCAGGAGAAATTCAGTGTTCTTTGTTGATATCTTCCTTGGAGAAGGATATTGACTGTAGGAAGCTTCTGCATAAATTATATATACTTTCAAATGGCCATTAACAATTTTGAAAACAGATTAGCATGTTTGAAATTTGGAGGGGAATACTACTTAGATTTTCATTAATATTACGCACAGTCACTATATATACATATATAATATATATATATTTAGTAATTCCAAGAATCTATTCTAAGGTCATTAGCCATTTGAAGAGGAAAATGCATTTAAAAATACTTTTAATGAAGTATTAACATATATATAATCTCACCTCCTTTCTCTCCAGACAAGTAAAACTTCTCTGATATACTTTACAGAGAATTTGTTATAGATGAAAATTGTTTCGTGGAAATGTGAATGCCAGTGGTTCCCACATCTGTAAGAGTATCAGAATCGCAATAAAAGCGTTTAAAACTACATATTCCTGGGTCCCTTCTCCCGAGATTCAGTAGTCAGAAGGGTGGTATGCAGAATATTTGTTTTCCCTTTTCCCCCTCTTCTTTTTAAAAAAGTTCTCCTGATGCTGTTGACACACAGCCAGGTTTGGGAACCACTGTCTTTATACTTCTAAAGGAGGAGTACTCATACTCCATACTCCTATATGATTACCATTCTGCATTTTGTTTTTAAGGACATTCAGTCATTAGTAGGTGTATGTGTACGCACGTATATACTACACAACCATATACATGTGAAAAATAGCCCACACACATCTTAAACTATCATTTATTACAAATTTCTAAATTGATAGTGATCATATACTGATAGCTTAATGGCAGAGCATAGACATACTTTTCATAAAATCTACATTACTGACAAATTTGTAACCTTTTATAAGAAAAAATTATTAAAGAGAAAAAAGTAATATTTGATTACTATAGAAAATTCCAAAGAGACAGGAAATGTGTAGAAGAAAACAAAATTTATTCATAATCCCAAGAGTCAGAGTGAGCTCTTCTTTCCATTTTTGAATACAGCTGACCCTTGAACAACGCGGGTTTGAACTGCCTGGGTCCACTTACATGTGGATTTTTTCCCCATTGTCCATACTCTAGTACTACATGGTCTGCAGAGGGCCATATGCAGGGCCGACTATAAATTACATGAGGATTTTCAACTGCATGGCGGGCTGGCGCCCCTGACCTCCACGTTGTTCAAGGGTCAACTGTGTTTCCTTCCACTGTTCTTACTCTGTATGTGTATTTAACTTCGTGACAGAGACCACACAAATTTAATTTTGCAGTAGCTTTTATTCGTTTACATTGTGTTTTGAATATTTTTCCATGACTTTGAAAGTATTTTAATGTCTTACATTAAAAATGTTTTTACTCACATAGCTGGCTATGTGAGTAAACTATTTCCCCAAGCCTTATACTGGCCCCCCAGGAGTGCACACACACTCTCACAAGCAAGCTAAATGTTAACGCTTCATTGAAAATCTTTTTAAATGAAGTTTCCTCTTCAGTTGGCGAATGACCTTAGAATAGATGCTTGGAATTACTAAATCAAAAAGGTTGTGCCAGTTTATACATTAACTATTTACCTACCAGCGTTGAGTTTTAGTATTTTTTAAACTGTGCTGAATTAATAGGTGAAAATGGATTTCATTATTTATTTACTTACCTAATTCACTTTTATGCATAGGCAAAACTGAAATGTATTGCAAGAACTAATTTCATGTCCTCTGAACTTTAGCTTTTGATATTTTGCTCTTGTTTTATGCACTGCTTCTAATTATCATCCCAACTTAGGGATGGTTTGGGTTACCTTGATCTGTGTCTGTTTCATTCTCCAAAAATAGGAGAACTGAAAGTTTCATACAGGGCTTTATACTCTGGCCTATAGAGAAATGTCAGATTTATTCCACTTTTGACTCCTCGCCCAACAAAATAACAAGATACAAGCCAGGAAAAAGAAAGCATAAAGAAAAAAAAGAACATACTAGTTGTTCTCAATCCAGACTTCCGGCGGCTCATAATTCCTCCTTTCAGTAACACTCTTGCCTGAGTACAAGGGCCTGAGAATTACTATCATCCTTCTATTAAATGTTACATTCCTGAAAGAGGTCTAATGTTGGGATAACTGACATATATCAAATGAGATTACTTGTTTGAAGTTAAGTGTAGCTGTAATGCAAGTACATATGGATGGAAACCAACCTGGTTTTTGATGTGCCAGGGACTCTACTAGATATTTTTCTTGCAACCTGCTGTTTAATCTTTATCTCTGCAAGTCCTGGGGATCTTCACTGTCACTATTATTGTAAATATTATTATTTCTTAGAGGTTAAAAAATCATACAACTAATTAGTGAGAAGTGCAGAATTCAAGCTTAGGTTAATGTGACTCCAGTTCTTTTCAGGGCCGATACTATATCAAAGTATTGGTCCCAATATTGCCACCATCTTTGCCTGTCCACTCAACCCTCACTTATCCCCAAGTTATAAATTATAATAGAACAATACCATGGATATGTCAAAGTGGCTCATAGAATCATTTGCATTACTCTGTAGTAGATAATAGATGAAATATTCAAAGAAAAGGGAATAAAGAAAATTCCCCGAAGTGTGGCAGTTAAGCCCAGCTCCATAGAAACAGAAATTGTAAGGATAATGACTTGTAACTTTCATTTGATCTAGTGAAAGTTTCTAACTTTATGCCATATTTGATGTTTGAAAAAAATTTTTAACCGTACTGTTTCCCTTTCCGTTTTTTTTTTTTTAAAGCGACACCATTTCCAAACAGCTTCAAGTGTTTTACCTGTGAAAATGCAGGGGATAATTATAACTGCAATCGATGGGCAGAAGACAAATGGTGCCCACAAAGTAAGTGTGCTGAGTTTGGAACGCTTTGGTGATCAGACCTCATTTAGATCTCTCTTAACTGGCCCTGAGCAGAGGCATCTTATGTGATGAGATTAGCAAACCAGCAGGCTGATGGTGTTCTATAGAAATCAGAGATTTTCTTTGACGAGACTATCCAGACATCAGACTACTCTGAGAGTACATGGAAACTGATGCATGGCCTCCATTTGTAGTTGTATGGGCTTTGAGGAAGAATTTCTTAATATTTACCAGGGAGAACAAATAGACCACAATGTTGACTAGGGCATTCTGAGAATGTCAGAAATGCTCGATGATACTGCTAGAAAAGTCCTACTTACTGGCTAAAGCAAAGGAAGGTTTTTGTACTCTTGAGATACACTGATGCTTGAGAAACTCATTCATTTATTCAACAAACATTTGAGCATCTTTTTAGTCTGTTTAGTTCCCTGGTAGATCCCCAGTGCCTAATCCAGTGCCTAGACCATATTAGGTGCTCAGTAAATATTGACAGAATGAAGGGATGCCTTTGACTAGGTAGTCGGGAAATCTTCTCTGAGGAATATACATTTGAACTGAGAACCAAATGACCAAAACAAGTCAGCTGCGTGGACATCTGCAGGAAGAGCATGCCAGGAAGAGGGAACAGCAGGTGCAAAGGCAAGATCTGGCTTCCTCTGTGAACAGGAAGAAGGCTGGCTGGTGAGGCGTAGTAGGAGATGGAGAAAGGATCTGATCGAGATTTAAGGACTGGGATGTGCAGCATCTTATTTGCTCTGATAAGAAGTTTGGATTTCATTGTAAATGTGATGGGAAGGGAGTAGGGTGTTTAAGCCATGGAGTACAAGATGCTAGGTGTGTTCTAAAATATTTCTCTGGCTGCCGAGTGCAGAATGGATGGTTGGGCACAAGAGAAGAAGGGGACACCAAATGGGGTCTTTCATTGTTTCGGGGCAGGAGAAGATGATGACTTGGACTAAACTTGGAGGTAAAGCAGACAGGATGTGCTGATGGATGATTTGTAATTGAAAAACTCTACTTAGAACTATAAGGAGATCAGGCTATTTGGATTATAGGATGCACTGTTTTTTAGGTTTTCAGATGTAAAAAGCCACCAAAAACAAACTCTTCCAGACTTAGAGACTACCAGTTTTGGTCTGCTATTACCTTGAATCTTTTGGACATTTCTATATCACATTATGGCAGTGGAATAGCCTTACCTCTTCCAGATGATGCCAAACTGTGGAACCAAGAAATAGTATATACACTGGAGACCTCTACTGGGCCTGAGAATCTTATGCTGTAAATTAGCACAGATGGCTGTGACATTTACATGGACAGTATTTTTCGTTATTTCTTTCCAAGAATAATTATCAAAATATTTTTTTCTTGAGGTTATTTTACAGTTCTGAAGAGCGGTTGACTGAATTGTGCTTGTGAGTGCATGTATGCTTTTGGGGATTTGTTTCTACATTTTTCACAAACATTAATTTCAATGTTTCTGAGGCTGGTGGATGCCTCTCTTTAACTAGCTTGTGTCAGAGGGTGGGTATCATCCTTTAACCGTTTGCTTTAAATTCTCCCAAGAACTGGATGGGAAGGGTTCGGAACAGTGGTCGATTGGGGCATTGATGTCCAGCCTCTTTATGGACACTGTCTGGCGCTTTTCTTATCCTCATCTTTATGGCTGGCATTATTCTTTTGGATTTTACCAAATGCTGTTCCTACTAGGTCTGTGCATGTTCCAATTCGTCTCTCGTTAATCGAAGCCACTTTTAACGGGAACATGCATGGAAATTTCTGGGTTTTAGAAATTCATCTCTGTTGAAACATGGGAGCAAAAGAGGGATGCTGCAGCTTTTCGCCAACAAGAAAAAGCCTGACTCAGAGAGAGAGGGACTCGGAATGCCCCCCGCATTCCAGCGTGCGTAACAGTACATTCTTGATTGTACACCAGCCAAGCCCCCAAAATACTAACCGTCTGGAATTGAGGCTGTAATTGCTTACTTTTCACCTTGTCATTATTGAGGGGGGTGATGGTCAACCATTTCTTGGGGCACACAGGCCTGTGGCTATTCTTTGTCATCTCAGGTTTCCTTTTCACTTTATAGCTCTGCTTCTGTGGTCTGCCAGGGGTGTTAAAAGAGGTTCTCTAGGTAACAGGATATGACAAGAATGACATTTCTTATTTAATTTACCCCGGCGTTTAACTCTGACTTTGTAGGGCTGCTTTAGCATGTGTGACGGTCTCTAGGAACACAGGCTACCAGTTCTCAATTCTTCTTTGTCTGGAGTACAAATGGGAATGCCTTCCAGAACATGTAGTGGTTCCCTGTCCTTCAGAGTCCCAGTCAGCTGCTCTTGTAGAGCGCTCTGCTCACGCCCAGTTCAATGCTGAGTGTACTGAGAGGCACGATAGTATGCTGGTGAAGAGCACAAACCCTGGAAGACTGCCTACGTCAGCGTCTTACCTTCCACCGCTTTCTACCTATGTGACCGTAAGCCTCAGGTTTCTCTGTGAAATGAGGATGTTAATATGACTTAAGGCCTGCTGTGAGGACTGAATGAGTGAATACATGTTAGAAGAGTGCCTGGTTGGTGGTACGCACTTAATGGGCATTTGCTATCGTTAACATTACGTAGAGCTTACAACAGCCCTGTCAACCACCCGTGCGCTTATAATTTTACTCAAACGAGCATGAGCTCAAAGGCTCTCTCGTGGCTTCTTCACTTGTGACACAGGCAGTTCCCTAAGCCCCGTCTTCTCAACTCTCATGTTTTCCTGCTCCCTGCCCCCACTTGTAGGGCATCGCTGCCACAGTCCCTTCTCAATAAACTAAGAAGCATTGCCTTGGCCTGAGATAACTAAAGAGTAAGAGGCGCAGAACTAAAGTGGAATGTCCTAGGCTAGTGAATGAAATCACTTTCTTGAAAGAACCCTGAGAATAAAATGTGAATGGTTAAAGGTATAAGGGGTAACCTGTGTGGCAATGAACTAGCCCTGCAGAGCGGGAGAGCCCTGCAGAGCGGGAGGGGGCAGAGAAGGTAAGAGTTATCTAAAGAGGAGGAGAAAAGCTGGAAATACTTTGGGGAAAAATCAAACACGCCGGGAGGATTAGAGCCCGGAGAAGAATTAGGTAAGCAAGGTGCTCTTGGTGTGTAATTTGTGGCACCTGCTTCTCAGTCCAGGTTGCCACATGGCCTATTAGTATATAAAGAAACATATGTGGAATAATGCAACAAGTGCTATGACCCGCTGCATTTTACATTTATAGTTTTCATTTTATTTTAGAGTTACAGAACATGTGCTTCAGGGGGAGAAACACAGACATACTGACACTTTCTTAGGAAATGAGCAGACCTATTTTTTTGGCTTTATACTCCTTTATTGGAGTATAATTGCTTCACAATACTGTGTTAGTTTCTGTTGTACAACAAAGTGAATCAGCCATATGTATACACATGTCCCCACATCCCCTACTTCTTGGACCTATGGTTTCGATGAAAAGCTTGTCCAGTTTTTTCTCAGCTTTACCTGGCACCAAAGAATAAGTGCCCATTTATATTCATTTTAAAAATAGACATCTGCTTCAGAAGCTAATGTCTGTTCAACAATACCGCCTAGAAACGTAAGGATCATCCTGAATTTTAGTCATTTCTGAAGTGACTGTTGAAAGTTTGCTTTCTACATTGCAAAAAAAATAAGTTGCTTTTTTCTGCCTAGATACACAGTACTGTTTGACAGTACATCACTTTACCAGTCATGGAAGGAGTACATCCATCACCAAAAAGTGTGCCTCCACAAGTGAATGTCATTTTGTTGGCTGCCACCACAGCCAAGATTCTGAACACACGGTAAGGAGCGTATGTGTGTGTAAAGTTATTGTCCTGTGGTTTCTTGATGGTGATGACTGGTTGTATATAAAGAGGCAGGAAGGATAAATAATGTCAAACATACGTATACTTTGAGAGACTCCCTTACACTGAAATGGAGATGAAAGAAGAAGCCTTTCTGTCCATCAAACAATAATATTACTAAAAACAAATGATAATTCTTAGATTCCAGAGCTAGACCCCAGGGTCTAGACCTTGGACTTTGGGTGAGTTGTCTGAAGTCAGCCTCTGGAAGCCCCAAAAGCAAACAATCCATGCACTAGAGGATGACCAACGTTACAGAGCCCAGCTTACATATTTTGTTTATGGCTAGAAATCACCAAGAGCACTGCACCAAGAAGGTAGAAAGAGGAAAATGGTGGCAAACTTACTGCCTCTGCTTAGACGAGGAAGTGAGAATCTGAGAGGTTAACCCCAGCTTATTAAAATGAGCAATAGAGGGCTTCCCTGGTGGCGCAGTGGTTAGGGGTCCGCCTGCCGATGCAGGGGACACGGGTTCGTGCCCCAGGATAGAGGGCTTCCCTGGTGGCGCAGTGGTTAGGGGTCCGCCTGCCGATGCAGGGGACACGGGTTCGTGCCCCGGTCCGGGAAGATCCCACATGCCGCAGAGCGGCTGGGCCCGTGAGCCATGGCCGCAGAGCCTGCACTCTGCAACAGGAGAGGCCACAACAGTGAGAGGCCCATGTACCACAAAAAAAAAAAAAATGAGCGATAGATGAATCTATCTATCTAGATTTTAGATGAATCTATCTCTTCAGTTTTCTCATTCTACCATTCTAAATGAGCATTTTACTCTTTTACATGCCTGGAATCCTGAAATGGTTGAGAAAAAATTACTTGAAGGTATGTTAATTTCATGAGATCTTAGAATTCAATTTAGCCTATACATAAAGAAAATGGTCCTGACACCAGTGGCTTTTTAAAAAAATTTAGTTTAGTATGGTTGATTTAATGTGTTGATTTCTGCTGTACACCAAAATGACTCAGTTATATATTCTTTTCCATTACGGTTTATCACAGGATATTGAATATAGTTCCCTGTGCTATGCAGAAGGACCTTGTTGGTTATCCATCCTACATATAACAGTTTGCATCTGCTGACCCCAAACTCCCAATCTTTCCCTCTCCGCCTTGGCAACCACAAGTCGTTTCTCTATGTCTGCGAGTCTGTTTCATAGATAAGTTCAGTTGCTGACACTACTAGCTTTTAGCTCCAGCTGCAAAGGAGAATCTGCTGGTTAGCTTTTGTGGGCTTTGGTGTGGGGTGGGCATCCCAGACCGATTGAAGCAACTTCAGAGTGAGATCCTGGGCCTCAGGAATTTTTGTTTTTTTGAAGTTCCCCCAGGTGATTTTAATGTGCAGCCAGGATTGAGAACCACTGAGGTAGATACTTTATCTTACCTGGCCCTCCTGGAAGCCATTCGATATAGATACTTTATCCTGAAAGCCTCTGTGAATGTCCAGGTTCATCAGGTTGAGGCGTTGTATCCGATATCATGACAGGGAGTGCTTCCCTTGAGAACACGTTGTGCTGTGAGGGAGCATGCCACTGTAAAGATAGGAATCAGTGTTAGTACAGACAACAAGAGTGATAATTATCCCCTAACAAGTAGTACTGAGAAAGAAAATCAATGACCAATCCCCTAACAAGTAGTACTGAGAAAGAAAATCAATGACCAATCCAAAAGGTTCCTAGCTTTTATTTTTGTTTCAGCGTTTCTGCTTACAAACCTTCAGAAGAGTTGTTGACTCAGTTAAGCAGTCTTACTCAGTTTGCCTTTCTCTTGCTTATGCTTGGGTTGGTGCAGGTATCACACTTAAAATGAAAAGACTCTCAAGATGGTTTTTACTTTGAGGTAAGTGGGGGGAAGGGTGTTCAATGGCCTGGAGGACTCACAGAATAAAAGCCAACTCAATTCTGTCCTCAGAGAGGTCTTTAACCTCCTAAATGTTTGCACTTAAGTTACTGTCTCACTGCAACCACTTAAGAGACCCCAAGCCAGAACTGCCCAGCCAGGCCCTTCCTGAATTCCCACCTCAAAGAAACGTTTCCACTTAGAAAAATTACAGTATGAAAACTTGGAGAAAAGATGGCGGAGTAGAAGGACATGAGCTCATCTTCCCTTACGAAACACCAAAATCACAGCTAACTGCTGAACAACCATTGACAAGAAAAACGCTGAAACCTACCAAAAAAGATATCCTACATCCAAAGACAAAGAGCCACAAGGAGATGGTAGAAGGGGTGCAACTGTGACAAAATCAAATCCCATACCAGCCCAGTGGGCAACCCACGAACTGGAAAATAATTCTATCACAGAAGTTCACCCACAGGAGTGAAAGTTCTGAGCCCCACATCAAGCTCCCCAGCCTGGGGGTCTGGCAATGGGAGGAGGAGCCCCCAGAAAATCTGGCTTTGAGGCCACTGGGGTTTGTCACAGGAGCTCCACAGGACTGGAGGAAACAAACTCCACTCTTGGAGTGCGCACACAGGGTCTCGTGTGACTAGGACCCAGGGAGAAAAGCAGGGACCTCGTAAGAGTCTGGGCCAGACCTACCTGCTGGTATTGGAGGGTCTCCTGTGAAGGCGGGGTGTGGCTCACTGCAGGAACAAAGACACTGGCAGTGGTAGTTCTGGGAAGTTCTCATTGGTATGAGCCCTCTGGGAGCCCGCCATTTTCTCACCAACACCTGGCCCCACCCAACAGCCTGTAGGCTCCTGTGCTGGGACACCTCAGGCCAAATAACCAACGGGGTGGGAACACAGCCCCACCCATCAACAGACAGGCTGCTTAAAGTCTTCCTGAGCACACAGCTACCAGCTAAATATACCTCCTGACACGGCCCTGCCCACCAGAGGGACATGACCCAGCTCCACCCACCAGTGGGTAGGAACCAGTCCCTCCCACCAAAAAGCCTGCTTAAGCCCCTGGACCAACCTCATCAACAATTTGAAGAATAAAAATCATAGGATCATCTCAATAGATGCAGAAAAAGCTTTTGACAAAATTCAACACCCATTTATGATAATAACCCTGCAGAAAGTGGGCATAGAGGGAACCAATCTAATCAAGGCCATATATGACAAACCCACAGCAAACATCATTCTAAATGGTGAAAAACTGAAACCATTTCCTCTAAGATCAGGAACAAGGCAAGGATGTCCATTCTCACCACTATTATTCAACATAGTTTTGGAAGTTTTGGCAATCAGAGAAGAAAAAGAAAAGGGATCCAAATTGAAAAAGAAGAAGTAAAACTGTTACTGCTTGCAGATGACATGATACTATAAATAGAAAACCCTAAAGATGCTACCAGAAAACAACCAGAGCTCATCAATGAATTTGGTAAAGTTGTGGGATGCAGAAATCTCTTGCATTCCTATATGCTAACAATGAAAGATCAGAAAGAGAAATCAAAGAAATGATCCCAATTACCACTGCATCAAAAAGAACAAAATACCTAGGAATAAACCTACCTAAGGAGACAAAAGACCTGTACTCAGAAAACTATAAGACGCTGATGAAAGAAATCAAAGGTGACACAAACAAATGGAGAGATATACCATATTCTTGAAATGGAAGAATCAGTGTTGTCAAAATGGCTATACTACCCAAAGCAATCTACAGATTCAATGCAATCTCTATCAAATTACCAGTGGCATTTTTCAGAGAACTAAAACAAAAAGTTTTAAAATCTGTATGGAGACACAAAAGACCCCAAATAGCCAAAGCAATCCTGAGAAAGAAAAACTGAGTTGGAGGAATCAGGCTCCCTGACTTCAGACTGTACCACTTACAAAGAGCTACAGTAACCAAAACAGTATGGTACTGGCACAAAAACAGAAATATAGATCCATGGAACAGGATAGAAAGCCCAGAGATAAACCCACACACCTATGGTCAATTAATCTATGACAAAACAAGGCAAGACTATACAATGGAGAAAAGACAGTCTCTTCAATAAATGGTGCTGGGAAAACTGGACAGCACGTAAAAGAATGAAATTAGACACTCCCTAACACCATACACAAAAATCAACTCAAAATGGATTAAAGACCTAAATGTAAGGCCTGATACTCTAAAACTCTTAGAGGAAAACATAGGCAGAACACTCTGGCATAAATCACAGCAGTATCTTTTTTGATCTGTCTCCTAGAATAATGGAAATAAAACAAGCAAACAAAACAAAAAAGGACCTAATTAAACTCAAGAGCTTTTGTACAGCAAAGGAAACTGTAAACAAAACAAAAAGACAACCCACAGAGTGGGAGAAAATATTTGCAAATGAAGCAACCAACAAGGGATTAATCTTCAAAATATACAAGCAGCTCAATATCAGAAAAAACAAACAACCCAATCCAAAAATGGGCAGAAGACCTAAATAGACATTTCTCCAAAGAAGACATACAGATGGCCTAGAGGCACATGAAAAGCTGCTCAACATCACTAATTATTAGAGAAATGCAAGTCAAAACTACAACGAGGTATCACCTCACACCAGTTAGATGGCCATCATCAAAAAGTCTACAAACAATAAATGCTGGAGAGGGTGTGGAGAAAAGAGGAACCTCCTACACTGTTGGTGGGAATGTAAATTGGTACAGCCACTATGGAGAGCAGTATGGAGGTTCCTTAAAAAACTAAAAATAGAACTACCATATGACCCAGCAATCCCACTCCTGGGCATATACCCATGGTTTGAAAGGATACATGCACCCCAGTGTTCACTGCAGCACTGTTTACAATAGCCAAGACATGGAAGTAACCTAAATGCCCATTGAGAGATGAATGGATAAAGAAGATATGGTACATATACACAATGGGATATTACTCAGCCATTAAAAAGAATGAAATAATGCCATTTGCAGCAACATGGATGACCTGGAGATTGTCTTTCTCTTTCTGACTTAGTATGATAAATATATGATATCAGTTATATGCTGAATCTTTAAAAAAAAATGATATAAATGAACTTATTTACAAAACAGAAACAGACTCACAGACTTTGAAAACAAACTTATGGTTACCAAAGGGGAAAGGTGGGGGAGAGGGATAAATTGGGAGTTTGGGGTTGATATTTACACACTACTATATTTTAAATAGATAACCAGCAAGGACCTACTGTGTAGCACAGGGAACTCTGCTCAATATCCTGCAATAACTTATATGGGAAAAGAATTTGAAAAAGAATAGATACATGTCTAACTGTTCAAGTGCTGGACACCTGAAACTAACACATCTATACTCCAATATAAAATAAAAATATTTTTAAAGAAAACTTACCTATTAACTATTCTTCAGAAATATTCTTAATGGCTACATAATATTAAAATATGTGTTTGTACTATAATTTGTTTATCTAATTCCTTAGACAGCTTTTAATATTTCTTTATTCTAAAATAAGCCCCACATAATCTTTGTGATTTTGGTGCATATTACTGGATTGATTTATATAAATAATCTTGAAGCTCTTGATAAAGATTGCCAAATTTCTCCCCAGAAAAACTGAAGCAATTATATTCTCAGTAGCAGTGTTTGAGAATATCGAAATTACTACCATGTCACGGACCCAGGCTCATGTACATTTTGGAAATCTTTGTCAATTTGATAGGAAAAAGGTACATTTTCAAATTCATAATGTTTATTAAGTCTCAAACATTTAAAAAGTAAGATAGCATTTTTCTCTTGTATGCCATATTTTAGAAAATTTTTAAATTGAAATAAAAATTTATATACTCATAAAAGATAAAAAAAAATTCTGTCCTCAGAGCTGAAGAAGGCTTTTGTTTTTCTTCATTTGACCCTTCCCTCTTCTTCCCTTCATTCACTTGCTCTTTCCTTCTCCTCTTCCTTTGGTAACAGGAGTGTAGGTCTTGCTGTGAAGGGATGATCTGCAATGTTGAGTTACCCACCAACCACACTAATGCGGTCTTTGCTGTGATGCATGCTCAGAGGACGTCTGGCAGCCGTGCCCCTGCGCTCCACCTACCAGTGCTGTCCTGGGCCTTCATGCTGCTGTTGATGTGATACCACCATTCCTGCGCGAGGCAGAGACCAGCCCTCTAAATCACAAGCCAACACCTGTGTAAACAGTGAACTTTGGAGTGAAGACCCGTCTTGCACTTGGTGAAGAATGCTCATCGGACCCCAAAGCAGAAGCCAGTTGTTGCTTAGCTGAAATGCTCCTGCACGAGGCCACTGAGGGATTATGTGGATTTTATATTTCTTGATCAAAGGGGCTGCATTTGGTCACTTCTGCAAGGAGAGTCTTGCCAGCATCTACTACGGGCAGGTTCGGTAGCCTGTATTGTCCCCACCTGACCAGGCCTGGAGCAGAAAGGACTCCTTGAATGATCAACTCCTTCAGGGGCTGCTGGATCAGACCCTCTCTTTTCTGTGATTAGCTCAGAGCATCTCTATGACATATAACCCTTCCCCAATAAGAAAGCAATTTCCCCGCCAACGGTGTAGACAACGAGAAGGGCAACTACAAGAAGAAACTTCCAGTGAAACTAATATGAAACCCATTGGCTATTGTGGGGGGAAATAAAACTTTTAAATTATACAATGTAAAATGCACGCTTATGTGTGTTTCTTGGCTGATGTGGAGACCTCAGGTGAAACATTAACCAGTGTCATAAGGGAGGCTAATTGAAGTTACGTGTTCATGCACCACAGGTGATATATTCTAGCTTAAAGTACAAAATTCTATGCCATTGTGACTTAGTTTTTTCTTTTGGGTGAAGGACCCTTCTTAGGATGCTAAATGCAAAACTAGTGAATTGAGAAGGTGAGGAAACCTCCCTGATCACGGAAGATGATACCTTATCATGTGATGGACCCTCAAAAGTAGCAGCTTAAAGACAGAGAAACTGGCACCAGTGTCCCTCTCCCAGTCAACCTGCCTCTGAATGTCAGGGCCACTAAGAGAACATTTCTAAACACATGCTAAAATGTTTGGTCCCCTTGTCTTCTCTTTCCTTCTTATAACACAGTCCCAGAATCCTAATTTCCTGCCTTTACACTTTGGGGTGACCTTTAAACACTCTGCCCTTGTATGTATAGTGAGGAGTTAATGAATTGTTCGGTTTTTTTTTAGTTGAGCATCTACCATTAGAATACTGAGTGCTCCATAGAATCCACTAATGATGCTGTCCTTGCCACACGGGCTCATCTATGATGGGGGTTGGCAAACTATGGGCCATGGGACAAATACATCTCACTGCTCTCAGTCTGCTGTAGCAAATAGGCTGTTGACCAGGTGGCTTAAACTAGAACATGTCATCCTCACAGTTCTGGAGGCTGGGAAATGCAAGATCAAGGTGCCAGCAGATCTACTGTCTGGTGAGAGCCCTCTTCCAGGTTTGCAGACTGGTTTTCTCATATCCTCTCAGGGCAGAGTGCAGAGTGAGCGTAAGGGTACTAATCGTGTTCATGAGGCTCCGCCTGCATGACCTAGCCATCTCCCAGAGGCCCCACACCCAAATACCACCCCATCTGGGACTTAGGCTCCAACGCATGAATTTGGGGGAGACAGATGCTCACTCTATAGCAACTATCTATTTCTGTGAACACAGTTTTATTGGAACACAGCCGTGCCCATTCGTTTACCTATTGTCTACAAGCTTCTTGCCTGCTACAACACCGAGGATGAGTAGATGCAGCAAAGAGCATCTGGCCTACGAAATCTAAAAGATTTACTATTTTGCCTTCTACAGGAAAAGTGTGCCGACCCCTAACCTCTGAAATGGCAGAAGTGCATTGGGAGAAAGCTGCTTGCTTTACAGGGACCGTGGTGCTCACGGGGGGTTCCTCAGCCTCTGCAGTGGTTTTTGCCAGATCACTTTCCTTAGATGCATCCATGAATGTTTCTTCGTTTTGACTGTTTGTTCCACTCCTTTGATTCAGCCTCTCAGTAGTTAACGTGCTGTTGTAAGGTGCCGAGCCGTCTGTTTCTTCTCATCCTTGACACACTGGGAGAGTCTCATCCTAAGGCTCTTTAGCTTCCAGTACAACAGGGAGGAAGCAGACATCGTTACCTCCCTGTCTCTGGCTGAAACCCCAGACTCACCTGGAAGCATCCGTTTTGAAGCCTGATGTAAATTTATCCTGCCTTTCACTCAGCACCTTGAAGTATTTGAGTTTTTATCATTTATGCTTGTTTGAAATTAATTATATATGGCTTCAGTTGGAACATTTTAATAGCATCTTTGGTGGGTGTATTTTTATTCGTCTGTGTAGTTGACGAATTGGTTAAAAAACCATTAGCAGCCAGTATTTTTTTCTGATTTTGTTTCTGCTTTCTAGATTAATGATCTTTCCTTTTTTTTTCCTTTCTTGAGGAAACATCTTAATTTTCTCTTCTTCACCCCACACATTTTGTTTTCATGGATTGCCCTCCTTACCTTAACACCGGTCCACTGAGCATTTAAGATAGGGCTATGCTGAGCAAAAGAGAGAACACACAGAGGAAACAAACTCCTGCAAAGGCAGCTGAGTGAGTAGGGGTGCCAGATTTACAAATATTTAAGAGCATGGGATGCCCCATTAAATTGGAATTTCAGATAAACAACAGTTTTTTAGTATAAGTTATTCATGAACTCATAAGTGTGGCTCATCTAAGGCAATGTTTTCAAGTCCCTGTAATCAGAATCTTCTGGGTAACTTCAAAACAATACAAATTCCCAGGGCATCCTGGAGACACTGACTCAGTAGATCTGGGATGGAAGCCCAAGCCTAACCCCAATAATTAAATGTTAAAGAAAAAGCTCCCAGGTGATTATGATGCTCACCCGGGTGTGTTACCCTTGACCTGAGAGGTTTATTCCTTTTTCTGAAGCCCAGTCTTTGGCCACATAATAGAAGTGCTAATGAATAATAAATATGCTCACAAGTAACCTGGGTTGGAGCTGTGGTTCTCATTGTGGTCTCTGGACCAGCAGTGTCAGCATCACCTGGGAACTTGTTAGAAATGCAAATGCTCAGCCTCCATTCTAGGCCCATTGAATCAGAAATTCTGAGGGTTCAATCTGTGTTTTAATAAAGTTTCCAGGTGCTTCTGATGCACACGCAAGTTCAAGAACCACTGGACCAGAGAAGTGCTTCCTAAACGTCTTCTGTAAACGGGTCCTTGGTGGCTGCATGAAAATCACTCAGGGAACTTATATTTAAAAAAAAAGAAAATCAGACTCCCAGGTCCCAAATCCAGAAAGTCAGATTCTTTTTGTTGGGGCCAAGTCAGAAAATCTGTATTTTTATAAATGCCTCAAGTGATTCTGTTACATAGCCATTTTGGGAGCCACTAAACTAGAGAATGAGAGATGGGGGTGACTTACTGATCAGAAGGCCCAAACTTTTAACACCTGACCTTGAAAGCCCTCTGCATTATAAGTGGACTCTGTGTGATGTCTCCAATGTAATTGTTTTAAAACTAGAATCCAAAAATCTAATCAGAGTCCATTGCATGGATTTTTTTAGTCCACTGCATAGTGACTTAGAATGGCCAAGTGTTCCAGACCTCAGATTAATTTCATTTGCTCCTAATGAGCAAGATGATGAAAAGTACTTTGTCAAAATGTCCATTGAAAACTGGAGTAGTGAGGGCATGAGGGTATGTAGGTTTGTTCTTATAAAAGAGACCAGGGGATTAGCTATGAATATGAGGAGTGTGTGAGGGAACGACCTGTCAAAGGTCCATTTTGAATAGATCTACATTCTAGAATAAACTGAATTCCCATCCATCACTTTCTGAAAAAGAAAAAAAAAAAAAAGGTACAGAACACATCTTTTCCTTGCTGCGTCTAAACCCTCCCCAAATCCAACTCTGAGTGAAGTTAGCAGCCAGAAATTACAGGTATTGTTTTCCATACAGTCTGCATTCTGCTGTGTCAGTCACTGTGTAAAATACATCTCATAAGAAAAGGGAAGGAGGTGGGTCAGTTTCCCTTTCTGCTGTGTCAGTCACTGTGTAAAATACATCTCATAAGAAAAGGGAAGGAGGTGGGTCAGTTTCCCTTTCTCACTGGGAGAAAACTTATAAAGCTGTGCAAAGCGTGAAATAAGCAGTATGAACCGGCACGGACTTAGGAACTGGGAAATATCTCACATGTAAAAAATTACTAACTCTAATGCACGGTTTTTGTGACGTCAATTGCCATCTTATGAAACTTTGCTCTGACCTTCGGATCTTGGACATTTTATTTTTCACCTAGATCTTGGTCACTGACTCTTTGATTTGTGGAGGGTTTCACTGTGATGCTGGATATGTCAGGGGACAAAGCATGCCAGAGGACAAAGGTGAATAGTGGATGCACAAAGGTGAAAGTTGTAGAAACTGGAGAGAAAATGGCTGTCGTAATTTCAGTCTGCCTTTAGGCATAGCTCCACGGCTGTGCACCCGAAACAGTCTAGCATCTTCCTATCACACCTCCCACTTCTCCTTTGGCCTCATAGTTCTGTCTCCTCCCCCATCCCCCTCCCTCACTGCCTTGGCCTCTTTTATCAGATGCTGAGGCTAGGAGCTGAGCTATCTAGGGGGTAATTCAGAATGTGAGTTACTCAGAGTGTAGGCTGTGAAAAATAGGGCTTTCACAGCTCAATCCCAAGAATACTATTCAAGGAGTCTGGGAACCTGCATTCTGAACAAGCATCTATCTAGTCATGAATCTGGTGATTCTGATACTGGTAGTCTTAGGGCATCATCTTTACAAACAATAATGCAGGGCCTCAGTATAAGGCTGTAGAGGCTTTACTGAGAGCATCCACCATGCAACTCCTAAACCTCCATATCTGTACTTTTTTGGTCTATGAAAATTGGTCCCAGTGAAGGGGCTAGGAGCAACTGGAGGACACCGTGGCTTGGCAGAGCTGCCCTGTTGGGGATGGTCCTGGGAGGCCTGGACGAGTGGGACCTGCAGGAAACCTGTACCTCTTCTAGCCAAGCAGGATGTCCAGGGTTCTGACCACTGACTAGACTCCCTGCAAGTCATGGCTGTGTCCGCAGCAGGAGCAACACGAAGCCAAGGGCAATGGAGCCTGTCCACAGAGGCTAAGCAGAGACGAAAGACCAGATCCAACTCAAATATTCTCTAAAGGAGGATAAGCAACAGGGGGCAAGCAGGTCCTGGAGACAGACTCTGTCTAGGTTGTTGAGGGTCCCCAAGGAGAGTACCTTTTAGAGAGTGATGTATCCATCCGGATGACTTCAACTACAAATAACAGAGAGGCCCAATCAAATTCGCATAAATAAATATGTGGCTCACACAACTAGAAGTCCAGAGGGAGAGTGGGATTCAGGGTGGACTTAACTCGGTGGTTCTAGCTCCGTTCTCTGCTGTTCTTTGGGCTCCATCTCCCCCATGTCCTCTGGTAAGGAGATCGCAGAGCTATCCCATATGTCCCAGCCAACATCCGGGGAAGAGACAGAGGGATACTACTGGACACATGCCAGGAAGTAAAAGTCTTCACCCAGGCTCCCAGCAAATCACAAAGGAAGCCAAGGAAGATGTGGTTACCCTTGGCTTTAGTACAGCTGAA